TAATGCATTCTAATGGGCTTTTTAATTTCGCTTGACGAGGATTTTGCGTAACAATGATTTCAACGGCACGGATTATCCTCATCAAGCAAGGCACCACTGTATTGTCTTTGGAAAGAGCTTGCATCTTGTTTTGAGTATTTGCCTGATGCCCAGGTTAAATTGTCTTCACTTCTCAATCTGACACATGTGGGTTAGCTAATCAACAAGTAAAATTGCATGCACCGTATTACTTAACTGTGTTTTCAAAGCCAACTATTACAGCAGGGGGAAAACAGTAGCCAGCAGTGAAGCCAGGTTTATTAGTAGCCCAATGGAAGATATAGTGAGTGTCAGCCATGGTCCAATGGCCAGAGGAATCTCTGCAGCCACCTTTCCCCATTTCCCCTACCCTGGTGTGCCTGTGATAGTTTTGATCTATTAATAGGACAGTTGAATACATTTCTCTTAGCTCTGATCTAGTCTGTCCTGTTCAGTAAATCCTGTACTAGTGGGAAAGTCTCCATTTATAGGTGCTGCTGCTCCTTTGAGTAAAGGAGTATGTTCCAGTTCTTGGATGTTAATATAAGAAGTTGGTGAGTTTTTAGTAGGTAACAGTGCCACCTAGTGCTAGTGTTGCTATTTTAACATTTTAAGTTTAGGTTTCTAAGAGCTGAAAATTGTATTTTATGTAAATTACCATAGCTGCGGGAGCATTCTGCTTAATAAAAACTATTCAATAATTAGTGTTGAAATTGCTTGTTCACTTATTTGAGGGGATCAGGGTTGCTAACGCAGCACTGGATTTCTCCTTATGGAAAAGTCAAAGCTTGATTGACTTTGCTCAGAGGAGTTACTTTAAAGGGGGGTAAAGTAAAGATCAGCCACCTCTGCAGTCATCTTTATTCCATAAAAGGACAAGCTGTTCCCCACTCCACCCCAAACCTCATAAAGCAATTTGGTTCATAGGTTGTAATGTATAGCAGTTATTTTCTCTTAAATCATAGAAAGGATAAAAGCAACCTTGGAATAGTACGTGCAGACTTAGCAGCTCCCATTATTAAATGTGAAAGCTGTGGATTTGTGTGTGTCCATCCTTCCGTCCATGCACGCACACAGCATTGTCAAATCTGACTTACGGCAACCCTTTCCAGTGTTTGATACCCAGTTTCTCTGAAAATAAGCCCTAGTATGATTTTTCGGGATGCTCGTAATACACGCCCTACTCCAAAAATAAGCCCTAGTTAAGTGAAAGCTCACCCTCCACCACTGTGCAGCAACCAGAAGATGACATGACTGTATTTGAATAAACATAGATTGTTGTACATGAAAAAAATCCCCTGAAAATAAATTCTACTGCTTTTTTGAATCAAAAAATAATATAAGACACTGTCTTATTTTCAGGGAAACACGGTAGATAGAGAATACACAGAAGTTATTCACCATTCTTCTGGGGCATCCTGGGACTGTGCAGCTTGCCAAAGGCTGGCTCTTCTCTCAGGAGGCACAGTGAGGAATCAAACTCCCAACCTCTGACTCTGCAGCCAGATACCTAACTCATTGAGCTATAGATATCTATAAAGTAGCTGGTTTTCTGTGACCTAAAATAAGATATGTTAGCTGGAACTAAGATTCTGTTTGTATCTGGATACCTTTATCCTCCATAATGGCAAGCTGATAGTGAACACAGATCCATATATGACAACTAGAGATTGGATTTTCAGTAGCTGACTAAACAAGATTAAGAAAACAATGTAAAATAATGGTAAAACACCCTTTAAATTATACATTTATTTCACTCTTGACATACCTTCATGCTGCTCTGTGGTATCTTGTTCAATTGCTTACCTTTTTTTACCTTTGAAGCGGTTTCCATGACAATTTTGATATACAATCTTTATTTAAAATCCTTTCAAAACAGTTTTTGTCCTGAAATTTAGATTTGCAGACAGAGAGCATATTTTTAGTAAATTGTTCTTGTTTCAGCAACGCTGTTAATGCTAATCAGTGAAATGTATTAGTAGACATTTGTTGTTGTCGTTTAGTCGTGTCCGGCTCTTCGTGACCCCATGGACCAGAGCACGCCAGGCCCTCCTGTCTTCCACTGCCTCCCAGAGTTGGGTCAAATTCATGTTGGTTGCTTTGATGACACTGTCCAACCATCTCATCCTCTGTTGTCCCCTTCTCTTCCTGCCTTCACACTTTCCTAACATCTGCGTCTTTTGCAGGGAGTCTTCTCTTCTCATGAGATGGCCAAAGTATTGGAGCCTCAGCTTCAGAATCTGTCCTTCCAATTAGTAGACATAAGCATGCCTAAACATCCCCTCCCATTGGCAAAAAATGGGTTATCTCCTTAGTATTCTAATATTAGGAATCAGGTGCAGTGATAACAGGATGGAAAAACTCATGTTAAATTTGATCAAAGATATGTCTGAATCCAGCTGAGACCCTGCTGTGATAGATAGTAGCAGCAAAGAAAAAGTATGTTTTTATTTGTTTATTTGGAATAGCTACATATTGCTTTATAGCCTTGAGGGGCTCTCAGAAAAGGTTACAAAAGAATGTTAAGGTAAGTCATATCCAAGACTAGTACAGAAACAGAAATTCTTTGTTGCGCTCTCTGTGAATCATACCCATACATGTGGATGTTTTTGCAATTGCATGAAACCTGTTGGAACATGACTTCTAAATTATTCTGATGGGTTTCGCACAGATACATCCACATGTGTGAGTTCACAGATGACCAATTGAAGACTCATAGTTACAAGTAAGTAACCTGTTCCTCCCATACCCACTCCCAATATGGATTTTGCTCAGTGCCTTGGTTTAACTGTGTTGGATATTTATTGCCTTTACCAACAGGGACCTTTTCTATTTGTTTAAACTGAAGTGTGTTACCGAAGTGTTGGAAGGATGAAGAAGACAGCATGCCTGCTCAGTGGTCTTTGTGACTAATGAAGCTGGAGAACAGATGTTGTTAATACCTTCTTTCCAAGAGGGTCACCATCCAACAGATTTGAAAGAGCAGTTGTGTATCTTATTGAGGAAACTCTCTTGGGACCTGTTAATAACTACAAGTCAGTCTCAAAAATATTTCATGCTGGGACAAGTTGTTTGACCCACTTGTCAAAAGCCAGCTTCAGTTGAAATTGATTGTTTGGTTTCCTTTTAGCCTGGCTTCAGGTCCATCTTAGGAGCAGAGTTTGACTTGGTCACTCTGGTGAATGGTTTGTATTTGTGATTAATAGAGAGATGATATACTGTTGTTTCTAAACCTCTCAGTCATAGTAAGTATTATTGAGCATAGTATAGTATTGTTCTCATCTTGTCATGGGCAAGAGGAACACTGTGGTTGTTCTTGTTGTTATGTGCTTTTAGGTTGCTTCTGTAGCATGACAACTCTATGACTTAGTGACCTCCGAAAGATCCTGTCATCAGCAGCCCTGCTGAACTGTTGCAGACTCAAGGCTGTGGCTTCTTTTGTCAAGTCAGTCCATCTCTTCTCTCCCCCGCCCCCTTACCTTCAAGTTTTCCAAGTTTTACTGTTCAGGATAGCCTCAATTTGGTTATTTTTGCTTTTAAGAAGAGTTTTGACTTGATTTTATTTACAACTTGAATGTCTTTCTGGCCATGCATGATATCTGTAATTCAGACAGCCTTCCCTAGGTTGGAATGTACTTTTGACATTGAACACCTGCTTGTGCTTTTTACCTAGCATAGCTTCACAATATATAATTAATGGTAGTAAATTTGGAGATATGTTATGTTGAAGCTTACTGGCATGCCTCCCTGTGTTCTTTAAAACCAGGCAGTTGATTATCTCTTCATTGCCAAGAAGATTTGAATGGTGGTATGCAATAAGATAGCTTGTGTTTCTCTCATGCTAAACAATACTCTCTCCTTGTTGTGATTGTTAAACAAACTAAGGAAATATTGCAGACAAGCATTGCTGTGCCAAGGTGATAATGGAGCCTTTCTGGCTATAGATTTTTAGGCTAGCACAAAGACGACATGTAAGAGTATCAGAGGAGAGATACCAAATCTCTCTGTCTAGAAAAAAAGCTGGAGCCTAATACAAAGAAATGGCTGCATGCTAGAAATGAACAGGATTGTAGGGTAAGCATTTCTACCCTCAAGAGTATAAATTCACATATCTGCAAGTACTCATGAAAGCATGTTGATACAGCATGTAGAAATTATATCATAGTATTGATTTACAAAAACTGCAAGCAGGTGTGGCAGAGGAGACTGGTAGCTTAAGTAGTGCAGTCATGGCCTTTTTCTGATGGTTAGTGTTGCCTTTACTTCAAATAGCAAAAGCTTATATAAGTGATGTGAATGCAAATAATTGGCATCTATTTTTTAATGGATAATTATTAGTTAAAACATGTGCCTCTTAAAATTTTTTATGTCCTGGAATGTTTTGGCTCATTTTTACTTTAGTTTTGGCACAGTAGAATGCAATGATGGTTTTATCCCAAAAACCTTCTTGGAAGAGAGACCATACATATATGTCAAACAAGCATGTATATCTTTATGTGCAGGTGTCCCTGAATCTTTTCTTTTACTTCATGTGTGGCCAGACAATCCTTCACCCTTTCACTTATCCTACCAGTTGTTGTTTATGTGATCCATATTTCTTGGTACTTTGACATATCTACAGTCTGTGCAAATATAAGAATTTGTTCTCTCCACCAACCAGAATTAATGGGCATGTCTGAGGAATCTGATATAGAGCAAGATGGTGAAACAGTATGTTATCTCCAGTTGTAGACACTCTGTGGCAGTACCTGCCCATATTCTTGTTGGGTCACCACAAGGACAAAGTAGAATTGTGAAAAACAATGGTGTTGTACCAGCGTAACCCATCTTCGTAATCCGTCACAAAATATTGTTTGTATGTGTATTTGTGTAGATTCTGGGATTGCCTTTGTGCCCAAAAAATAAAATCTATGTCATTAAGAATAACATAGACATTAGCAAAGTGTTTACAAAGACATAATTACAGTCAGTCCTAATTCTTTTCTTTTCTTCCCCTACAGCTCAAGCTTGAAGATCGGTCAGTGGTGCCTCGTGATGTTGTCCGGCGTATGGGCTCGCGTGTGAGTGCTGCTGTTTTTATATGTAGGAGTAAGAAACCAATGCTCATGTTTCAGTAGCAGTAAATTTTCTTTGGGATGAATCTGCAATCTAGAAAGTCGTTGATTTTATATGTAATCTTATTATATTGTGAAATATGTTTCCCATGTTTCGATAATTTGTAGCACAGAACTAATGTAGTATCTTAACAGACTTGTGCAAAAACTACAGTTCATAGGAGCCACATTAAAATGCGTGTTGAATCAGCATTGGAGGCCCATTGGTCTGCAAATGATTCTTTGGCTCGGTGTTGATTTCTACAGAGAGCAGATTGCACTTCTGTTTAGTTTTGGTGGGAGCAAAGGAGAATAGCTGTGAGAAAACTGAAGTGGATATAATTATACCATTGCGGCTTATGTCTGAGCAGTAGACTGATTCAGGATTCAGTAAGCACTTTTCCCCATAGCAACATGGAAGCATGACATCCTGAGTTTGTGAAGGTGGGCGGGTGAGGGTCAAAATCAGCATCTGGAATAGTCCCAAACAGAACTAAATGGGGAGGAGGGAGTGATAAACAGACATCATGCATGTGACAGCCAAGGTTCAGTTACACATTTAGTTTGCCTTGGATGAGCAGTGCCAAAATTGATTCGTATTCATATCTTGTTTAATTGTGAATCATGGTGTAGCATTCAGTCCCCCATCCACAAGGTTTTTGTGTGTGGTTGAAGAAGCGCTTTTAAACATACTAAATATCAGTACTGTTGTATGCAATAAAAATGGTCTTATTATTTTAACATTTTAATATGTTTTAAAATTTTACTTATATTCCATATACATCCATAATTTTAAATTGTTCAACACTCCGATACAAATAGAGATCAGTACTGCTTTGTCCTCTTGACTCAGTTCAACACTTGTAATGTTAAACATTTCTACTTCTACCACCTAATAATATTTTAAACAATAATGCGTCTTTTCTGATTAAGATTTGAAAGGTCGGAAATGTGTAGTGGACATGCTTGGGTAATTTCCAAGTAGCCTTTATCAGTTGACATAGAAGAAATAGAAGTGGAACTGTCTTCAGAGTTACTGGGAAATGTTGATTGAACACCACCACCACATATCTGAAAATTAGAAATCAATTGTTATGCTGCAGTTAACATCTTAATGTGCATTTGTCAATTTTTTTGTAACCATAAAATACTCTGTGCAAGGAATGACTAATAGATTGCCTTTTTATGTTATATCTGTTAGGCCCTATTCATAGAAGACAATTATATAGCATTGGGGGTGGGCAGCGGGGGGGGCAAAATTCTACAAAATGTGAATTCTATTTAAGAAACATGAGCATGACTTGATTCATATTTAAAACAGGGCAAGACACTAAAAACAGAATGAAACAAAAAATCAAGTACAGTGTATTGCAAGATACCTTGAACCCTTTAAACCACTGCACATCAGTGAACTTCTGTTGTGAGCGTGCCCATTCCCAGAAATCACAGGGAATTTGGCTTCCCACTGCACACAAATGTCATGTCCAAAGACTTGAGATTCAAAGATGACGTGGCAGAGGCAACATAGTACGTGAATTTCCAGGGGGATGACCATGTTATATTGTTGGCAAAGAAGAGAGCAAGGAGTCTTGTGGCATCTTAAAGACTATCAAGCTTTGTTTGGCATTAGCTTTCATGGATAGCCTCTGAAGAAGTGGACTACAATACATGAAAGCTTATGACAAATAAAACTTGTTATTTGCCACAAGACTCCTGGGATGAATAAAAGTTGCTGGTCTCCTTTGTTGAAGTCTGCCCACAGTGCAACCTAAAGAGACATAGCACTGAAAGTTAACTCTTCAGTCAGTTTGGTGAAAAAAGCATTGTTGCATGGGTGGTGAACATAGCTTCACTGGATCAGACCAAGCTCTATCTAGTTCAGCAATCTGTTCTAACTGTGCTTAACCCATTGCCTCTGTGAAGCTCTTAAGCACTTCTCATTTGACTTCCCCAGCTACTCATATCCAGATCAGTATTTCTCCTACAGTGGAAGTGATATGTAGTTGTCGTGACTAGAAGTCATTGGTAGACAAATTACTCTCCATGAGATAAACCATTTATTACATAGTGTCAGCCCTCCCAAGCATGCAGTTTTTAAATTAATGGATTCTTGTATATGGGACCACTACAGAAGCAAGTCGCCAAGTAAAGACATGTTGCGACAGTTGCTAGTTGACTAAAAGTTAGTGATTCATCAAGGTTTGCACCAGCTTCTTCAAATAGTTAAACAGTTCGTAGGCAGAGCCAGCAACACTGAATGACTCATATTTCATTTTGTTGTCTTCCTTAAATATTGGATCCGTTTTTTGTTTTTTGTTTTTTGGTGTGGTTTTTTTTTTTGGCAAATTGAGGGTGAAACTTTCTTAATTGTTATATTCTATTGTTGCATAGCATGAGAATGTGCTACCATTTTAAAACATTTTGTTTACTCTTCTAGGACAGCCAATGTGGGACAGTCATAGATGTAAATATAGAGTGTGCAGTAAAACTGGTGGGGACGAACTGTATCCTTTATCCTGTTAACAGTAAAGATCTTCAAAATATTTGGGTAAGAGTGCTTTAAACTGTTTGTACTCATACAACAGGAAGATCTGCAAATTAACAGATTTGAATACTATAAATTAACAGATTTGAATACTATATCAAAACAGATTATGTTGCATCTCCTACTGTGAGAGGTTTCATTTAACAAGGTTGCACTGTGAGAGGTTTCATTTAACAAGGTTGCCTCAAAACCCTTCATCTTGGCAAAAAAGGATTTCAGTAGGTGGATTCCTACCATCAGCATGCCTGCACATTAAGATAATCTTCAGACACCTCATTGTAGGTTCCCCTGCTTTCGGGTTTGGGTTAACTGAAAAGGAGATTCTTGCTTGTGAAAGATGTTCTTTCTCTTTGGCCAATCTAATTTCCTTTACTTTTTCTTTAGAGTACCAGAAATACCCTTTTATTTTTCAAGGCTTCTAATTTGCTCAGTTCCCTGCTCTGATTTTAATCTGTTAATTGTTTTAAATGGTTATCAGTCATCTCCATAAGAGGTTATCCTGGAGTTGTTAACATCAGAAGATGGCATATTACTCCTTGAAATAAATAATATAAGAGTTGCATACCACCACACATTCTTTCTTGAATGTGCAGCTAGTTTCTGTCAATCTGAGCAAGGGCTTGGTCTGTAACAAATACGATGAGCAGTTCTTGCATAGTGATGAGCTAGAATGTTCACTTGATCAAGGCAATCCCATGGCAACGATGTGGTCCTGTATTGCAATACAGCTAATATACTGTGTTAGCAAAACATTTTAAAGAAGAAAGTACAACAACAATGCACAGAAACAGACTGCCACTAATTTCCAAGTGCTTTGTTGGAGGTGTTGCTGTCCTTGTTGCTGTTAATGATGATAATTATTTTAAAATTATATTTGCTGAATTGGACAGTAAGCCTATATACTTATATGGATGTTGCTTGATCTGAAGCCTTCGCTAAAATTGTGCAAAATATCGCAGCTCCATCTTACTCTGTTCTTGCAAGGATGAAAGATACTGTACAGTGATTTAGACATACTTACCAAAATACGTCATGATGACTATGAGAATGCTCCAGAATTCAGCCAGTATATTGGATACTTAGCTGTGACATTTGTCAGAGAGCATAACCGCAGATGCATTTCTGCATTTTCAGATCTTGTGACATAAAGATGGGAACTTGTTTTGATTTATCTGGAGGATGTTGTTATGCATCAAGTCACTTCCAACTCATTATGAACTTATAAATTAGTGACCTCCAGTGAGTCCTGTTTGCTACAGACTTGCTCATCTCTTTCAAACTCAAGGCTGTGTTTTTCTTTCTTGAGTCAATCCATCTCTTACATGGGCTTCCTGTTTTCTTGTTGCCTTCAATTTTACCAATATTATTGATTTTTACAATGAGTCTTGTCTTCTCATGATGTGCCCAAGTACAATAGCCTCAGTTCTTTTTTCTTCTAGGGAGAGTTTAGGATTAAGTCCTGGAGAATTTTAAAAATTCTTAATTTAATTTGCATGTTAGTCCTGAATTGCCATTCATTGTGTTTTCATTTCATTAGTTTTAGACTGAAAAACGTTTACACTGGTTGTGAGGAAATGAACCAAACAGCCATCCTAACTTTCCTCTTTCCGTTCAGCCATTCATGTACGGTGACTGCATAGCCTATGACTGGTGGCTAGGAAAAGTGTATGATCTGAAGAATCAAATAATTCTGAAGCTCTCCAATGGTGCCAGGTATTTATGTTCTTACTGTTACAAAATATTAAATTATGCAGATAAACAGATAAACACTGGAGCACAGAAGACAACTGGAACTTCACTGTTATTTGCTAATAAGATGCCTAACTGGGGTATAAAATTGAGTGATGGTATAATTGCCTCCTTGATATAATCCTAAATTCATTGTTTGAACACTTCCAGCCGTCCAAAAATCTATGCTGCCAGCTTCTAGCCTCCATTTTCATAGACTTCTTACTGTACTGGAGGATGTACCAGAGTTTTATAGCACATATGGGGAAATTTCATAGAAACAACCAGTTGAATGGCAGGTTGATTTTCTGTCTAGCCTTTTGTTCTCATGTTTGCTCTATGTGAGCTAGTGCATCTTGGGCTTCTGCATGTTTGGAACACCAAACACTGTAAATACTGTAGTTCTATGAACGTAATAGAGAATCCATGATGGGCAGTTCTTTAAAATAAGCTGATGCTGATCTGATACACTGACTGCAGTTTGTGCCTTTGACTCTGGTATCATCCTACAATATGAACCAGCACAGCAGATGCAGGTTAAGTGTGTATTAATCCAAATTGTCCTTTGGAAAACTGTACTGACTTTTGCCAAGCCTGTTTTATTAATGATTTCGCTTTTGTCTTAGATGTTCAATGAACACAGAAGATGCAGCAAAACTCTATGATGTCTGCCCACATGTCAGTGACTCAGTAAGTTGAAGGTTCTCTGTTTGGAGAAATAGATTTATTTCTATGTGGCTAACAGACACTATCCAGGAGTGAAGATTCTTAAGAACACAAGAAGCCCCATGCTGAATCAGTCCATCTAGTTCAGCATTGTGTTCACACAATGGCTAATTTGTTACTTTTGAGAAGCCCACTAGCAGGGCATGAGTCCTGCCTCCCAGGCCTCAGCAACTGGTACACACACTGCCTCTGTTATGCGAAGTAACAGAGCCAGCCTGACCGCTCCCCACTGTTTTGTGTGATGGGGAGCAGGGTTTGCTGTTGCCAAAATGTCCGTAGTTTAATAAAGCACTTTTCCCATGACAGTTGATGTCATCCATTCCTATAGGGAGAGGTACATGTTTTGCACTTAGGATGTTAGTGCTGGAAATAGTGCTCCTGTCCAACTATTTCTAAGTTCAGTCTCCTTTGTTCTGTTTGGTTTGACAGCTGCCACTGGCAGGTTTTAATCCTGTCGCAATGGTTTTCACAAGCTTGTGGTTTTTTTCCTTGTTAAAAAGTGCATAGCTGCTGTTCACATTCATAGGGAAAGCAAAGCACTTCACTGAACTCCTGTGGGTACAATAAAACCTTTTCTCCCTCATTGCAACACTGGGTATCAACAGATTTCACAACTGCTTTCAAACATAGTTCAGATGTGAGTCAAATCTCTTCCCGCTTTGCCTTGTCTATGTTTTGAAAGTTATTGCTTTATAACTTTGTAGATGAACTCAGAAAAATGCACTCTCTCACTAAAGTACCTAGAAGTTTGTTTGTTTGTTTGTTTGTTTGTTTATTTATTTATTTATACCCCGCCTATCTAGTCATTTCGACCACTCTAGGCGGCTTACAACATAAGGATAAGTTACTGAGCATGAATCAATACATTTTCTTTCTACTGTTACAGCAATTCTTCTTTGCTGTATGATATTGAAAAATTCAAATGAGATTAGAAACTCTTTCTTAATATCACTGAATATTTGTCCACCAAGTATAATTCCACATACTTGGTGTTTCCATAGCAGATTGACCAAAGCAGAGAGAAGTACTTTGGAAGCAGGGAGACTGCCCACAGGAGCTTGTACCCTCCTAAGTCTTTCCCTAATGATGAAAATAAGAGAGAAATACAGGAGTCCTGTTCCACAGAAACAAGACATGGACTTGGAAATAGCCAGAGCTGACTTGCATGTCGTCTTGTATTACTTTTTTCCTCCAGGGTCTCTTCTTTGATGACTCATATGGCTTTTATCCTGGCCAAGTTCTCATTGGTCCTTCAAAAGTCTTCTCAAATGTGCAGTGGCTTTCGGGAGTGAAGCCTGTTCTCAGCACGAAGAGCAAGTTCAGAGTGGTGGTAGAAGAGGTATGTCTCAGTGAGCTGTGGCAGTATTGTAAGAACACTGTCTCAGCTGACCTTCTCCACAAAACGAGCTAGTTGTGTTATGTCCTTTGATCCAGGTGGTTTGGCCTTGTTACTGAAATAGAAATCTGGAAGTGATTGAACTGAAACTGAGCACACAACCTATTTGGTGGATCTTTTCAATTAAATTAGAAATAGTCCCATTTCTGCTTCTGCTTCTTGCAAAGCCTTGCTTTAAGAGAAAGTCTGTAGCAGGAAAGTTACCTGCATTTCAGATTTCACAACAGTATTTCAACGAAGTGGATCTCAGTAAATGGTGACCTTTGCCAGCTATATAGGAATCATCTATTTTTGTTTTCTGTGAATTGTTTCAACAAGGCAAGCCACCATTTACATCATAACCACTTTGATCTGATATACACTGTAGTAATCCACACATACAAGTTTAAATTACATCATGGATTCCAGCATTGACAGGGAGAGTGGAAGGTAGCCAATTACTTCTTGTTGTTAAATTACTAGAATTCAGGAATGTTTGCCAGTGTGTTACAGTATCTTCCAGTCATCTACAAATAGATCCCGATATGCCTTGTGCTCAACACTGTAAAGGCCAGAATGAGAAGAGAGAAATAAAAAGTATTTGGTGTGTGACATCAACAGCATAACACAGAATCCTTCCTGTGAGAAGTTGGCATTCTCAGAGAGCCAGTCATATTTGACTGCCAAGTTTCCTCCGTCTGGTCAAGGTTTCACTGCAGGAAATTGCAATCCCTCTCCTCCCCAAATTACCTTCTCCCATTTGTTTGTTTGTTTGTTTGGTCCTGATCATCTCCATGAAGGCTATTGACAACCTGGAATTTGTCTGATGGGGAGAGGGGGAAGCAGGATGGTAAAGGGAATCAAGCCATATGAAGAAATACAAGGGACTTTTTGTTTGTTTAAAGTGGAAAAGAGAAGGCAGAGAATCAGTATGGAAGTTTTCAAGTACTGGAAAGGCTGTCATGTGGAAGACTGATCAAGCTTTCTGTAGCTGCAAAGAGTGGAACCCAGAGTAATGGATTCCAATTTCAAAATAGGAGATTTTGTCTAAATATTAGGAAGAACCTTTTGACAATAAGAACTGTTCCACAATAGAACGGACTTGCTTTGTAGGGTGATGGACTGTATTTCATTGGAAGTTTTTAAACAGATGCTGGATTGCCATTTGCCAGTGATTGATTTAAGGTCTAGCTACCAGTGGCATGATTGTGTTATCTACCCAAGGCATGTTGTATACCACAAAATGGCCAAATCATTGACAGGAACATCAGCCATACATACCAGTAGGAAAATTCCCCAGGATTCTCTGAAATCCAACAAAATTTGATTTCCTCCAAGGCAGATCCCTATCCTTTCTGGGGGGAAAAAGTCTACTGAAAGTCTAAACTCCATCACAATATACTTAAAATGACTGTATTTGAAGCGCTCAACATTCAGATCACCATCCTTGGGAGAAAACACCATTCATAGTATGCCTTGACAATGTGTTGGGCCTTTTACTAATTACCATTTGTCATGGAAGCCATGAAGTTTTGAGCCGTCCTAAATCTAACAGGCTCAGCATGTACGCTGAACATTGAAAAAGGGGTTGTTGTTATTGAAGAAGAACTGAAGCTTAGATCTGTTCCCAAGCTAATGTTCCTATGCAATAAAATTATATCATGTTCATTCTTTAGTCATAGGGTATGGTGTGGTTATTGGCTGCTGTTGAACACGTTGCTGGAAAATTATTATAAAAAGTGACAAGCCTGGATTAGCGCTGGTCACAATCATCCCATATTCCTCAATACCAAATGCAAGGCCAGCTCAAGTAAGAGTAATGGGCAGAGTGGGGGGTGAGATGCAAACAATAACACTGGGGACTCAGACAGGCAGTCTAGAGGAAGAATCCTTATGAACTATAGTACTTCCTGTCTCCAGTCTTCAGTTTGCATTGGTGCTGCACTGAGTACCCAGAAGAACACATCTTCCTGTTCCCAACCTTAAGATCATTGTTCCATGTGCGAGGTTAGCCCTCTCATCCATAATCAACCAGGAACTTTTGTAAATGCAGAAGAACTTTTTGTAAATGCAGAAGAACTTTATCTGCAACTCCCAGGCAATGTTTTAGTTCAATGAATTCAATTACAAAATATTATCTACACAATATGTAATGTAGTGAAATGTTGTAAAGCGTTCTTTTTTCTATTTACCCTCTTTAGGTGCAAGTCGTGGAATTGAAAGTTACATGGATCACCAAAAGCTTCTGTCCTGGAGGCACAGATAGTATAAGTCCACCACCATCTTTAATTACTCAAGAAAATTTATCTAGGTAAGGCATATTTCATGTTCAACATCCTGACTATTTTTCTCTCTTCAGATAACATACTACCTGTACATTGCTATAATAAGAACAAGAATTTTCGTACTGTATTGGCGACCAGTATGCATTTTGCCAGTTGAGAAGGTAGATAATCACATTTAGCAAGGGAACATATTCAGTAGCCTTTGACCAATCAAAGGGCATTGAACTAAATTTTAAGGCAAGTCTCATTCTTGCATAGCTCTGAGGCTTGCTTTTATGGTCCCAGTTTATATATTCCAGAACTGAAGTGAGAATCCTAAAATCAAAGGCAACACCTGTAGCTACCTTATCATAAAACAATTGCAGTTTGGCCCTGAGATTAACAGAAAAGACTTGAAGGCAGACTTCATGACTTCCATCAGGCTTAAGCTGCCATACAGTCCTTCTCATTTCATGAATTAACTACTGAGTATCATTCTTCTAAATTTGCCTTGAGAGACAGCAGGATATCAGTGGTAGGCATTAGAAATATTGAAACAATAATTAATTAATGAATTAATTAATGAGAAAATTGTGGCAAGAACAGGTTGGTTCTCCAAAAATTTAGTGTTTCTCTCATCTTGTTTTTAATAGAGTAAAGCGTTTAGGATGCTTTGACCACGCTGAGCGCCAGCTTGGAGAAAGGTGTCTCTATGTATTTCCTGAGAAAGTAGAACCTGCAAAAATCACATGTGAGTGCCCAGAGAGAAACTGTGTTCTGGGCGATGGATCAGTTGCAAAAAAGGTATGTATGCTGGCATTTTATGGCCAAGAACATTTCTTCTAAGAATTTAGTTTGTTCATAATTTCAGTAGACTACTCTATCTCCCTTATTTAAAAAAGGAGCCGCATGGTACAGTCGTTAAACTGCAGTACTGTAGCCAAAACTGCTGCCAACCAGGGTTCAGTCCCAGGTAGCCATCCCAAGGTTCAATCAGCCTTTCTTCTGAGGTCAATAAATTGAATACTCAGCTTCTGCGGGGGGCACAGTGTAGCCTGCATAATAACATTGTAAACCTCCCAGAGAATGCTTTAAGCCAGGAGTGTCCAACCTTTCACCTTCGCTGGGCCACATTAGAAGATGAAAATTTGGTTTGGGCCGCACATACATTTGGTTTGGGCGGCATGGGGGGCGGCCCTAGCCGTCCTCCATAGCCCCGCTCTAAGCGCGCTTACTGGCAGCTGCGATCTCAGACAGCAGAGGCTGCCAGCTTCGACTCCGGAGGCTTTATGGGGCTGAGAGGGGATCCACCTATTGATGGGGACGGCGCAATGCAGTCACACAGCCCCCCTGTCCCCTCCCCTCCCACTCCTTCCTTCCTTCCCTCTCCCCCTCTACTGTTGTGACATGCTCTGGCCACATTTCGGCCCCAAGCTCTGGCAGTGTAACTTGAAACTTTGGAATTTCTTTAAAAATAAAAAATTGCACTGACCTGGGCCGCATGCAGCCCTCAGGCCGCGGGTTGGACAAGCCTACTTTAAGCACTGTGGGGCAGTATATATGCAACACAGTTTGCTTTTAGTGAGTCATATTTGTTTGACCTTGAATCTATATCCAGTTTGTCTGCTGAATTCAGATTAAATCTGTTGAATTTCTACATGCCTGGCTCTTTTAATAAGTATAAATCTAAGATGGAGATGAGACTTGTGCATGATAGCTTAAATCATATCAACAGTTCAGGCAGGAAGTGGGTTAGGTTTTTTTTGCTATAAATACATTATATTAAAGTTATCTCATTCCTGTATTTAGGATATGAAAATGTTACTCTCCTTTTACGGTTGCTTTCTAGCTACATGAGAGTTCATCTTGGGAGATAATCTGTACATTTCAAAGCAGAAAAAAAGAGAACAGGGCTTGCTCAGGGAAAATAATGGTTGATAAATTTTTGCACACATGAGTATGTGTTTGTCTTGACTGCTGTTTTCCTTTTTTCCTTGTCTGGGTATGCTACTATATAAAAAACAATGTTTAGAAAAGAAACAATAATTTCAATTTCCCTTTAAATATGAAGCATATAATTTGTTCTAGCTATAACTATAAACCCGCTGTTACAGCAACTCCATTGTCTGCCAATCCATTTCCAAGCACAATTCGAAATGGTGGTTCTAACCTATAAAGCTCTAAAGGGCTTGGGCCCAAGCTATCTCAAGGACCATGAGACGACCATATGAGCTTGTTTGGACATCAGGAGAGGCCTTTTTCTTCGTCCCATCACCTTCACAGGTGTTTTTGGTGGGGACACAGGAGAGGGCCTTCTCTGTGATTGCTCACATCCTCTGGAACTCACTCCTTCCCACAGGAGGCCAGATTGGCCCCATCTTTGCTGTCCTTCCACAAGCAGACAGATATTTTTCTCTTCAGGCAAGTTTTCCCTTAGTAACTGCCTGAGTTGAGGTGTTTAAATGGATTGTTGTGCCTTCCTGCTTTTATGGTGTTTTTTTGTTGTTGCTTTAATTTACTTTTTTGTGTGTGGTATTTGATCTTTTTCAGTATCTGTATACTTACTGTTTTGAGTTTTAAATATTATCTTTTAATGAGGTAAGCCACCTTGGGTCCTTTTTAAGGAGAAGGTGGGGTAAAATATTTTAATTAATTAATTAATTTCTTCTTTATAAAATAATTTCAGCCACTTGTGCTAATCTGGTTTGATATTGGGGATAAATACTATTTTTCAAGAGAACAGAATTCATCTGCTTTGCATGTAAAACATGTGAATTTATGAGTAATTACTAAATCCTATCACTTCAATAGCCTTTTTTGCATTATCAACCATATACAATCCTGAAAGCAACTCTGACAATTGTTTTCTTTTAATATACTTCAGAATAATGAACAGAATATGGAATTATATATATATATAGCCAGTAAATATTTGTCCTTTATTACTTTTGTTTATTTTTCATATAAGTTAGCCCTTCTAAGTGGAGTAATCCTTGTTCTCCTACTGACTGCGAACTCTGAGTCATATTCATGAAAGAAAAAGCCTAGGTTAGCCATTGTTTAAGCTAGGCCTGCAAAAATGACCCACTAAATGCATCTGTTAAACCTCTTATTTTGTGACCTTGTTGAAAACTGTAAAGCAAGGTTGGGCAATAATGGCTCTAATTCTGGCCTACAAACAACCTTTGTCAGCCATAGCCAGCTTAGCCAGTTGTTTCACGAAGTATGGGAGTGCCAATTAAAAATAGATGGAGTGCCTCAGTTGCCCATAATTGCTATAAAAAAGGAAGGGTACACTATGAAAGATGGCTCACCCTTCTGCATATGGGTTATTGGGCCACAGGTTTCGCAGCTTTCCTCAGTGGTTTCATGTGTTGGTATAGAGCTATCCTTTCCCCCACAAAATCTGCTTCTCCATCTGAGAAGAATAAACAATATGTTCTTAGGTGTACTTTATCACTATGTTAATACTTTCATCATTAATACAGAAATCATGATATCAGGCAAAAACAAAAGAAAAAAACAAAGAACATAAAAATGTTGTGGCACCTCAAAGATTAACTGCTGTATTTTAATGTGAGCTTTTGTGGACAATTCCACTTCCTCAGACTTGTCCACGGAATCTCACATTAAAATATAGCAGTTAGCATTTAAGGTGCCACATGATTTTCTTCGTTTTATTTTTCTTTTGTTTTTGCCTGATATGTTAGCAGAGACTAACACGGCAACCTCTTCTAAAAGAAATTATGATGTTTAATATTGCAGATCACCTGTCCGTGTTTCGTATCCAACGTAAAGCCTGAAAAGGTACTGTACTAAATGCTTGTTCTGTATATGAAAATGCTTCACCTTTAGTTTATGTCTTTCTGAGATATTGTTAAGGTAGCTAGCAATCTTAAGCATCACCACATAGACTGCCTTGTTCTTCTAAAGAATGTTATTATTTCAAATATACTATTTTTCCTTACAAAACTCAACAGCAGAATTTTTCATCTTTTATATTTCTACATAAATGATCAGTACATCAGAAGAGGTATTTTTAGATAACAATCATTTTAATTGCTATTATTACAAGAAAATATTAGGTTCATTGTTTAACATAGCTAATTGTGTTAAACAACATCACTTACGAACAAATTTCAGTATATTTCTATATTAGTATGATACCCATTAGAGTCATGGGAGGAAAATATCAGAAAGGAGGGAGAGTTTGTGTGTTGGAGACGTCTAGGGTGGGGAAATGTAGGATTTTGCAGATGATAGAAAAATGGCCTCTGCTCATAAAGTACACACAGATGAAAGGGATTGAACTTGTCAGTGACTGAGGACGAAAGAGATTTTTGTATTGCTGTGGACAACTTCCTGAAACCATCAATCCAGCTTGTTTGTAGTGGCTGTGAAGAGAGCAAATATCATGTTGAGATTCATAAAAAGAGCAACTAAAAAGGAAACTGCCTAAATCATAATGCTTTTCATATATACCTGTGATGAGACCATATGTTACATTGTGGTCATCATACCTAAAAAATCTTATAGATCTGGAAAAAATTGAGTTGTCAGAATGATAAAGGGGCTGAAACAACTCCTCTGTGAAGAAAAGTTCCAGAATCTGGAATCCTTTCACTCTGAAAAAAAGGTTAGAGGTAATTGTCTTTTGAAGAAGGCCATGACCACAAAGCCTTAAAGAGCATTGGCTCCTTCTACAGTGTTGGCCCCTGCAGCAGTGTTTCACTTTGAGATAGAGGTTTAAGTTTGCAATTGATAACTTACGGGCCAACAAGTCTGGTGGACATGGAAGGTATGAGTGCTTCTAGTATTTTCTTTACCCTCTGGTTTCTTATTGAAGCCAAATACAGTAAGGTTGGCCATTTTCTAGCCTGCCTTGCTATCTTGTGTTCCTCAGCCATAAAATTGTCTCTGAGAAAAAGCTGGCTCTCCTTCTGTGCAAGAACATTCAAGTTGATAAGAAAAAGGCAAAAGGTTGATAAGAAAAGAGCACATGTCTATTTTCTTGCTTCCAAGAAGAGAGGGAGGATGGGTGGAGCAGTTGCAGCAATATATACAATTTCCTGTTGTATCCACAGCCGTATTGTGGCTTGCAATGAGGATAGTACTGCTCTAGGATGGTGGGGGTCCAAGTAAATCGTTTCTACAGAAGCTTCAGTGTCCTCTCAGAATGAAAACAAAAAGATACAAGCAACCTGTCAGTTGTGATAGGCAGAATGGTGTCAGCTAGATGTGTGATGTGACTGTAGTTTCGTATCATTTGGTGCCAAACTACTTAGTGTCAAGAGTGGACAGAATATTTTGTCCGCATTATATTTCTTTGCTTCCCAGTAATAGTGGAGAGTAGTTGCTGTATCATCATCATCATCATCATCATAATGTGCCATCAAATCAATTCTGACTAATGGTGATCCTTTGCAGGGTGTTCTAGGTAGAGAATACTCGAAAGTGGTTCACCCTTCCCTTCTTCTGGGGGCATCCTGGGACTGTGCAGCTTGTGCAAGGCCACACAGGCTGATTCTTCTAAAAGCACATAAATTATGTACCTCAGAATAAGGTTAAGTCTGTTGGTGTTAATCAGAAACTTTTAATGATCAGATGTTGTTTTTCCAGCTCACCAACCACAGCAAATTGCTTACTATGGATAGTGGCACAAATTGTGTGCTTACAGTATTTTGTTGTTTGCTAGCTCTTGTTTTAAGCACATAAATTGTGTACCTCAGATTTTAATGACAGGTGGGGTATAAATAAAGTTAAATAAATAAATGTGCATTTCAGGTCTGGATGAATCCAGAACTGAGTCGTGATCTTCTGAAATGGCTTGAATGTGAACATTTTTTGGTGTTCTGTTTACAATTTCCATTCAGAGGGACTCAGACCCATTCAGAAATTCTTTCCAAGCTCTGCAAAGAGGGAGAACACTAGAGAAGGGGAATGAGGGAGACAAAAGGGAAAGTAGGTCTGGCACCTCCAGCTTCTAATCAAAGTGAGAGGTTTTATCTGGGCTCTCCAGTGCCAGTATCTGGAGAGAAGAATGTTGAAGCAGTCCATCAAAGTACTATTGCAGTATTCAGTGCTGCTTGTCAGTTCTGCTTCTTAAAATTTGGAATAATTGTTGTGATGTCTGCAATACATAGGAGACTTTTCCAGACAGGAAAATGCTGAATGTTCATGTTCTTCTGTTTCTTCTAGTGTATGTGCCACACCCTGCATCTGTCCCATTCTGCTACTGCATATTCTGTGGCTTTGGGGCCAGATAATAAACAAAACAAACACAAAATCTTTAAAGTAGTTCTCATTTACCATTTGAAATTTATAAACGGTGAAAAAGCCCCTCTAACAATTCTTCTGAGACTTGGCAATCTCAGTCCTCCTTGTAAGAGAGAGTTGCTATGCCTGAATATTTCTTCCAGTATCCAGAAAGCAGTTTTCTAGTTTGCAGTGATCAGTTAAGAGGAGGCACAAAGATTTGGCTTTCCAAATGACAGTTTGGAGCCAAATTGGACCAAACAGTCCTCCAAATTGCCCAGTTGGAGCTGAGAGCAAATCAAGGACCAAATCTTATGGGTTCCTACACACCCCTAATATACATAAATTCAGCACCCTTTCCTGTAGAACTGAGTGAGAGACACTCGGCTGTGTTTGCTTTTATTGAGAACAGTGCCAACAGTGCTGCTCGGCTCGTCTTGCATTCTATTTCCTTGTTTCAGTATCAGTGGTAGTCTGTAGGCTGTATTTTACATATAAACCAGCTAGGTAAAAAAAATTATGTTATGATGAGTGACACGTGAAAGGCAAAGCATTACTTCCATTGAGGGTCAGGTGAGGTTGCTGAACTACTTACTGGCTTTGCAGAATGAATAGGGAATGTATACCGTATTTTCCGTGTATAAAATGACACTTTTCCTAAAATAATTAGAGGAAAAATTGAGGGTTGTTTTACACACAGTAGTAAGGGGGGAGGGATCAAAGCTTGTGATCCCTGCTTTCCCCCTCCACTTTTTGCAAAGGAAGTGGAGGGAGAAAAGAGGGGAAAGCAGCTTTTTGCAAAGAAAGTGGAGCGGGAAAGCACTGTCCTCTCAAGAATGTGGAGGGGGAAAGCGATTCCTTCTTTCCCCCTCCATTTTCTTGAGAAGAAACTGCTTTCCTCCTCCACTTCCTTTGCAAAAAGGTGCTTTCCCCTCCACATTTTGTGAGGGGGAAAGCAGCTTTTTGCAAAGAAAGTGGAGGGGGAAACCACTTCCCCTTCCACTTTCTTGCGAGGAAAGTGCTTTCCCCCTCCACTTTTTTTTTGCAAAAAGCTGCTTTCCCACCTCCACTTTTTGTGAAGGGGAAAGCAGCTTTTTGCGGAGAAAGTGGAGGGGAAAAGCAGGAATCAAAGCAATTTGATCCCTGCCTTCCCCCTCACAAAAAGAAAGAAATTTTGGCTTAGAAAAGGGGAATCATCTTATACATGGGGGGCATCTTATACACGGAAAAATACGGTAACTGCAATTAGTGGACTCTGTGTCAGCTCTTGTGTGTTTCTCATGTTTTCTCTTAATCTCCACATTGTCCCATTATTATTAAGGGGCCATTTTAAAGGCCTCTGTAGGCTTCTAGCTATTTCTGCATTCACCCTCATCACACTGAGATACCTGCGACCAGTGGGGTAATACTGTAGAAAATTCTCGTCTCCTTCTGTTGTTGGGATGGGTCGTCTTGATTGCATGAAGAGTAACCTTATGGGGCAGGCAGAGATATTGCTCATCAGCTGTGCTCCTTTTGTCATTAACTCCTTCTACACAAAGCATTCTTTCATCCTGTAGAATGCTGGAATATTAAGGACATCTTAAATGTAGTATGATCACACACTGATTGACAACTTCATAGAAGAGCTATAGATATTAATATATATGTCAGATAGAGCTGCTTATCCCCCAGTCTTGGATGTTAATCAGCCAGCTTATTTGAAACTATATAGTTTTAACTGTGTATTCATGTTTTTGGTCTGGTTTATGTATCATTGTACTAAGATAGCACAATAAGGTATTAATTTGTAAGGCTCAGTTAAAACATTGCTCTGAACTGAAGTTCCTACTGTTGTGAAGGGACAAGTGGCCCCCTTCCTCATATAGTCATAATATAATGTGTGACATGTGTAAAACTCACATTTCTTAATCTCCTTTATGATTCCCCCTCCCTGTGATACTAACATCTGTGCAGCCATATAGGAGGAGAATGTGTCTGATATTCCACATTTGTGGAATTTACAGACTTCCGTAAGTGTTCTTCTGCATCAACAGGCATCCATGTGTGTATCATCCTGAACGTCTTGGAGAAGGCAGGATAAACAAAAACTAAATAAGAGAGAAAAATCAATATACAGTGGTGCCTCACTTAACGATTGTCTCGTTTAACGATGTATTCGCTTAGCGATGGGTTTTTTGAGGAATTTTCCACATTGTTTAATGATGTTCTCTATGGGTGATTTTTGCTTAGCGATTTCGGGACCTTGCTTTGCTTAGCGATGACTGTTTAGGTCAGCTGTCAAACCTGCAGTTCAGTGCATTCCAATGGGGGAGAAAAAAATTCACCAAAAATTAACGAAGAGTCAGAACAAAGCTAAATTAAGTTTGCAAAGGTTTTACAAGGTGCACTAACGATCGCAAGCATTTAAAACAGTTTTTGAACATTTTAAGACACTTTAAAAATAGCAAAAACGGACATCGCAAAACCATTGGAATCCATTGAATAGGCTTCAATGCATTCCAATGGGGGAAACATTGTTTCGCTTAGCGATGTTTTCTATGGCGATTTTCACTTAAGGACAGTAATCCATTCCCATTGGAACGGATTAACCGGTTTTCAATGCATTCCTATGGGAAATGGTGTTTCGCTTAGGGATGTTTTCCCATAGCGATGTGTTTTTTTTTGGAACCAATTAACATCGTTAAGCGAGGCACCAATGTAATTGATCTGACTAAAGTAATATGAAAGCCTCCAATGCCTCCACTGTCTTTTTCTGCATCCATTCATGGACTGTTAGCTTGCAAATTCATTAGCTACCTTTCATGTATGTAGAATTGTGTCAGGAGAGGACATAAAGATGGTTCAGATGTAAAAGGGAGAAACCATAACTACTTTCATGCTGCTTTATTATTTAATCAGCACAAACACTGGTGTGATCTATTTTTAGCGGTCAAATGCTGCTGAAATTGAGATCTCTATGTAGTTCCTAAGCATTTTAGTATGCAGTCTGTATTATATAAAAGTATTATATAAAAACAGTCTAGCTTTGAAATTATGGAACTGTGGATTATTGGTTCTGAATCCTAAGGAGGAATCCGGCCTCCACATCAGGAAGAACTGATGATAAGTGTGGGCCAGCATTACAGCTGCCCCAAGATACATAATAAATGGCACCCCACTGTTTGTAGAATGGTGCAGACAGAATATCTCAGCACATTCTTGTATACCCAGTATAAACATAGAAGAAAAGTAGTCTAAACCCGTTGTCACAATCTCCTCTGAAGTCCCTACCCCCCCCCCAAGGCCTTCACAAGGTTCTTGCTATTCTTTCTACTTCGCTGCCACCAGATATTAATGCTTTAATATCAGCTGCGTATGGACACGTGTGCTGTCAAAACTTAAATCTTTTATTTAATCAGGAAAGTTAATAATAAGTATTCATGGGATAAATTACAGGCTGCCAATCGCTTATATTTGAATCAGAAAGGATATAACTTCAAAACTCCTTCAACACTCTGCTTCAATCTATGCTCTTGCAGATCTCTAACTCACTCTTCAGTCACTTTTAAGCTACGCACAGTCTCTCTCTCCCTCAGACTCCACCCACCAGTCTTTTTATCCTGCTCCCTCCCCCCTGGCTCTGCCTTCCGTTCACTCATTGGCTCCTGCGTCAGTGTTCTGGGGTGACGAGCAGGTGAGGTCAGGGCGGTTCGCTACACCCGTTAGCAAATTTCTTTTCAAACATGTTTCTGGACCATGAACATTGACATTATGTCTCTTCATTCACTGCTATTATCCTTCCCCGAGAAGTTCCCAAACGTCCTTTTCTTCACTGACACTCAGGCACCCCCACCCCATAGTGGTAGGATAATACATTTATTGCTTAAAGTTGAAGGGCAGATTACTAATTTCTGCCACCTCCAAATTCTATAAGCCTTTGGCTATGGGATGAGTAGAAAGATGTGTCCGTATAATAACAATAAAATAAGTTACAAGCGTAGGGCAGGGTTAATCAGGGTATGTCAAACAAGGTAGGTCAGGGAGTGTTTTCAGTCAGACAAGTCAAGATTCCTCAAGCATGCCTTTAACGTGCTTTTGGTAATGACAAAGAAATTTGACCTGAAAGCACTGTTTCTTGCCCCTTTTAAATAGGGCAGCCATTTTAATTTCTAAGCAGACACATCCCATTACATTTCTAAGGGTGAGAAAAAATTATGCAGACACATATCCTCAAGCAGAAATATTTTAGAATCTTAAGAATTGCAAAATATTGAAACAAAATGCTATAGCTATGGTTTGTTTACCAAAATCCTTCCTGATTTAAAAGTTAAACCCAATAGTATGTTTAGTATTGGTTTATTTGTAGGATTAATCTTTTTTACAAATGTGTATCATTGACTAGGGCTGCAATTGCTGACCAGTATTTTTCCTTGTAGGTAAGAAGATTATTGAAGAAGCAGATTGTGAAGATCATGTCATGCTCCCCAGATTCTCAGGGTACTACTCTTGATCTTCCTGGAGGAGAATCTGCTGCAGCAGGTGACCAACAATCAGGTGACCTCAAAGCCAGCTCAAAATGTGAGGACTCTGCCAGGAATGCTGCTAGCATACAAGAGGCAAAAGAAGGGTGCTTTGACGCAACAGGGAAAGGAGCTCCTTGTGAAACAGCTGGACTGCAGCCGCAGCCGCCTTTTATACTGAAACGGGATGACAGCACCCCAGACTACAAGCTACAGTCAGCAGAACAAGATGCGGATGATGAAGCAGCAGACGACACCGATGACACCAGCTCCGTGACGTCATCTGCTAGCTCCACAGCCTCCTCTCAAAGTGGCAGTGGCACAGGGCGCAAGAAAAGTATCCCGCTCTCCATCAAAAACCTTAAAAGAAAACATAAGAAAAAGAAGACAAAGGTTTCACGGGAGTTTAAACCAGGTGACAGGTAGGACCAAGTTATTCCACCTTCAAATGTCATTAAATCAACCAGTTCCAAAATCGTGTTTAAACAAGCGATGCCTGTGCAAGAGAAATGGCTGCAACTTTGTGTGGTTCTTTTCTTGGCAGCAGGTGTAAATATTTATCTTTGTCACATTTCAAGCACAACACAATGCACCAATACATTGTTGCTGCTCTTTGCCATCAGATTATGGCAGCCCTGCGAATCAGTGATCTCCAAAAGGTCCTGTCACTAAAAACCCTGCTCGGGTCTGGCAGATTCAAGGCTATGAGTTCCATCATTGAGTCAGTCAGTCCTTCTGCATTCAATCTCCCTTGTCTTGTTGATATTCACTTTTCCTAACCTTATTGTGAGTCTTCTCTTTTCATGATATCCCCCAAATAGTGCCAGTTTAACCATTTTTGCTTTTAGAGATGCCTGAATTTAAACACGTTTGTTGGGGGGTTTTTTTGTGTACCAATGGTTAAACTGAAGTACTGCAGTTAAGACTTTGCTCATGACCTGAGTTCAATCCCAATGGGCTTAAGTAGCCAGGTGGGAGTTGATTCAGTCTTCTAGTCTTCCAAGGTTGGTAAATTGAGTACCCAGCTTGCTTGGGGGGGGCACAGTGTGTAGCCTGCATAATTAAAGTGTAAACCACCACCCCCGAGAGTGCTTTAAGCACTGTGGGGTGGTATGTAAGCAGGGCACTTTTGCTTTATAGAGATGATTTGGACATAAGATTGTTGATGTTCGGAAACGATTACAAGTTCTCTTTATTTCTGTCTTTCCCTTCCACAGCATATAACAGTCCTTATGTGGGATCTTGTAGGTGTGTGTGAGACAGAAAGTTTCAGGAAAGTTATGCCAGTGTTTTCCTTCTGTTAAACACCCCCCCAAGTTAAGAATAGGTTTTATTACACCTTAGTCTATATCACTGGCCCTCTAGGAAGGCATATTATGGTTCAGATATTATGTGTTATTTCAGTTTCTTCCGCATTGAGGTTTTTCACTCAAATGCCAAATCTTGCAGTATTGGAGACAAGCTTTTAATGTTATATCCAAATTGGCTGGAAGTTTTTATGTTGACCTGCTCTATTTTCTATGGGATGCTTCTTCTTTGGGTAGTAACTTGCTGCTATCTTTGATCACAGGGTTGCTGTGGAAGTGGTGACCACAATGACCTCAGCTGATGTCATGTGGCAGGATGGCACAGTGGAAAAAAACATTCGCTCCAATGAGTTATTTCCCGTCCACCACTTGGACAACAATGAATTTTGCCCAGGAGATTTTGTCGTGGATAAAAGAGGTAATTGGTGAAATGTGCTCCTTCTAGGGTGCTATACTTCACTAACACTTTGCACTTGTATTTTGATTCTGGATCTTTAGGGTATTGATAATTTCTGGTATAATAGCAAAGATAAACTATTAATGTCCTATTGTAGAACAAATCAGTCTAGCTTTTTTCCCTACGAACATATAGCACTGTGTCTTCTAGGTCAATCATACGTTGGAGAGCGTGACATTTTCTTATATTTGGACAGTGGAATGAGTGTCTCTGACCAATCTACAACAAAGCCTAGGCCAAGTTCAGTTTTGTAAGAGATGCATTCTCAGGGGTGCATTCAAGTGTTGGGGACCTGGTGAAAGGCAGAAGTTCAAACTAAAATATAGCAGCATATTTTAGTTTAAAGCTGTTGCTGCCAGAAGTGACCTTAAGAGAGACATTGCAGCCTTTTTGGGTGAGGGAGAAACCACATGAACATATAAAAAGACACCAAACAGTGGTGCCTTTTGGAAGAGGGCTTGGCCTTCTGGGAAACCCAGTGTGCCAGAGTGGAGCTCAGCAAGGCTAAATTTGACTCCAGGGTTCCCCCCCCCCCCGCATTTATAATGTTCAGAATCTTCGGACTAAATTATTCTTTCTGGCATTTTGAAATACCTAAGTAGGGTTCTTTTCTGCAGTGTTTCTATGTACTATAACAGTGCGCTAATGGGGGGTATACAAATCAAATCAATCAGTCAGTAAAATATGTGGCAGATAGCACCGGTCCCTGTATGGCAAACCTATTAAAATTTGTGCGCCACATATTATTTTAAAATGAGGAGGGATTTGAACATGCTACTTGCTTTCAGTCCAGATCATCCTTCCAAGTTCTGATAGAATACTGTTTGCCTACTGTTTGTTACTTAAACATGTAGGAAAACAGGGTTAGGGAGGCTACTATTTAACACTTCAATACTGTTCCTTATGTAATTGGCCCTTCCCCATATCAGTAAGCAGAAAACATTACCCTCAGTAAGCAGAAAGCATGGCTGTGCAGCATGTTCCTCTCCCTGCTGCCAGAGAGTTACAGCATTGGTTCTAGTTTTGGTGAACAGTCAAGGATCTACACATGTGCTTTCAAAGGAGAGTGTGGAATTGGAGAGAATCCACACCCTCCTTCAAAGCCTGGAAAAGTGTGAGAGCCCTCCCTGCTCTGCTGTACCAACTGCAGAAGCCGTTATGACGGAAATTTTCACGATGTTCTACTGAATTTTCGAGACTTATAGAAAAGTGGCAGGCTCCTAGCTGCTTTTGCAAATGTCTGAACCTTAGCACACTGGAGATAAATTCTCATCCCCTCTGAGTTCAGGTGGAAGAGAGGGACTCATTCTCCCACTGTTGTGCTGTGGGACTCAGTAAAATACGAGAATACTGTTTTATCTCACCTCATCTCACACCCAGAATGTGTGCATATGAGTTTGTTTATGTGCAGATTCAGACCTCCAGTCTTTCAGGCAAAGCATGGAATTCTTCAGAAAGGTCACAAGTTGGCAATGTCTGGAATAATCAAGTATTGAGTATGATGCAGAATGTAGAGAAACTGACCTTAGAGGGTATTGTTTTCTCTTACTGGAGTATCCTTTTTCCCCCCAATCCCAAATAGCACAGAGTTCTCAGGATCCTAGTATGTATGGAGTTGTGCAGTCCGGTGACCATGTTGGCCGCACCTGTGTGGTGAAATGGTTTAAGCTGAAACCCAGTGGAGATGATGTAGAGGTAAGAAGAAAAGTCCCACTGATCTTCTCTTTGTCTTGTTCTGTGAGTTGAGGTTATGCGTTTGGCTGCTTCTGTGAAACGTTGCAAGGTGTTTGTTTTGATTGGTTAGCAGAGCTGCAAGCTGAGTTGGATGGGTGTTGCTGCTTTCTGCTTCTGTATATTGTTTTGTGTGCTTCCATTGTGTTAAAGTATTCTTGTGCAAATTCAAATGTTATTTTATCCATTGTAAGTCATGCTGAGTTTTTAGTAGCATGTAAATGTGTCAGACATTGTACAGCTGTACTAATTGTGAACCCTATACTAATACAGTGGGGTCTTGACTTGAGAACTTAATCCGTATTGGAAGGCGGTTCTCAAGTCAAAAAGTTCTCAGGTCAAATCTGCATTTCCCATAGGAATGCATTGAAAACCATTTGATCCGTATCTGCTCTTTTCCGTCCATAGAAACTAATGGGAAGCTGCTATTCTGCCTTCGACCACTAGAGGGGGATATTTTGTTTCTTTTTTTCTTAGGTCAAGAAAGGTTCAGGGAAGGCAGGGAAAATACAGTCCAGGCAGTACTAGGCAGTCTGAAGACTGTCTCCCAATCCACTCTCTAAACGCAGGGAGGAGTGAGGAAGCAGACAGGCACCCTTTTCACTGGCCAACAGTTAACTGAAAGTTCAAATTTTGCACTTTCCCTGCCTCCCACGTGGTTTTTTTCAGTTCTTAATTCAAATCTAAGTACTTAAGTCAAGTCAATATTTTCCTATGAGAGTGGTTCTTAAGTCAAAATGTTCTTAACTCGAGCCGTTCTTAAGTCAAGACCCCACTG